CACACACACACACACACACACACACAAAAGAGAGAGAGATATAGATAGATATATAGATAGATAGATAGATAGATAGAGAGAGAGTGAGTGAGAGAGAGAGAGAGAGAGAGAGAGAGAGAGAGAGAGATACTTTCCCCTACCTTTCAGGGTCAACATGGGCCATATGGGATAAATAAATATATAATCTGTAGATTTGCATTATAATAGCCTAGATCATGCACTTTGGCGTAATTTCTATTCACTATGGAGCGAACTATTTGATTCAATTTGGACCCATATAAAAGACAAAGGGCGGGGAAGGGGTGGGGGTGGGGGTGGGAGGAGACCTTGGGAACTCGGCTATACTGCTACGAGATTGGCTTTTTGCCCTTCATTTTGGCGTCTATACTGCGCAGGCTTCGTAGCAAAGTTTTTGAACAAAGCTGAAAGCGGCAGCCATGACAGTGCACGATCTAGCATTATTATATCATAATTCAAGTAGGAATCTACTTTTACTGGAAGGTAGCTGAAAAAGGAGAGAAGGCAAAGACAATACTCCAGATGAACCTCCTGCCCCTGGGGGCAGAGTGTAGACACTGGCCTGATATAACAACTACCTTCCCTCAACTTACCCCCCCCAAAAAAAAAAACCCCAACAACAACAACAAAAACAACAAGAACAACAAACAAAAACACCCCCCAAAAAACAAAAAGATAACAGGGAGGACTGGTGGACTAGGTTTTTGTTTGTTAGTTAATTTGTTTGTTTGTTGTTGTTGTTGTGTTGTTGTTGTTTTTTTTTTTGGGGGGGGGTGATGGTAAATCTGCAGAAAAAATCCTGAGTACTACTAGAAAACTAACTTCATCCGTACAATAGAAAGCAAAACGATACCAAAGCTTTGAAATCGATAATTCCCCACATTATATACCACAACAGCGAACCGGTCTGAAGTGTAATGGTTATGTTCTTGTCTTGTTCGGTATACTGGGTACGCAGCAGTCAAAAGATCCATTCAAGAAAACTACATACTATAAATTTGTGAGAAAAAAAAGAAAGTGCCTTGTTATAATTGTAGGTGAAGAGATGAAAAAAGCGCTTTGCTATAATTGTAAGTGAAGAGATGAAGCAAATTTTTCCACTTAATTTTTCCTCAAATTGTAGAGATGTATTTGCTGCTGAGCATGATTTTTTTTCTGCCACTTGTATGACACTTTCAGTTGCACTCTGTTTCCCTCCTACCAACAGCTCTGTGAGAGAAGAAGCCTGACACTCCCTCCCCACTTCACTCAGATTAAATCTGTTGGCTTAAGGTCCCGGATGGTGTTATTAATCTCCCCTTGCAAGTGGCCAAACTGCAAACTTTGGGACTTCTCTATGCTGTGATGGGCGTGTGCCCGGGTGCTTCTGCGGGACTCCACTTCAAAGAGGGAAGATAACTGAGCTTCCGTGTTGGCGCACCCATCTAGATCTAGTACGAAACACGAGGGAATAAGCAACTAAAGTATCTGCTGTGTTTGTTTGTTTGTAATAGTAAAAAGAAGCACATCGACACAATAATGGTCATTCAGTTTGTTTGAGTAAAGAGAAGCGTATGGACACAATAATGGTTAATTAGTGTTGGGAAAAAGTAAGACAGAAAGACAGAAGCAACAGAGGGAGAGTACAGAAGTAGGACCTACCAGTGATGCGGCTGATGCCCTCCAACCACCTGCTCTGCTGTGTCCATTGGTTTTTATAATAATATCTTTGAACAAGAGCTCTGATGCAACTCTTGATTAGCTTTGGACTAGATTTAGAACCAACGAAAGGGGAGGGGGGTGGGGGGTGGAGGAGAACTGTGTGCACTCGACTAGTGCAAGAGTGGTGTTTTTTCCTTCGTTTAGGCGCCCATGGTGCGCTTGCTTCGCATTGGAGTGTTTATAGAGAGCAGAGACCGCTTGCTATAACAGTGCACGAACTGGGATATTACAGTATAAGCCAATGGCTGTGTTTTGGACCGTATGCCTATTCAGATTTGAAAAAAAACTTCAGAAGGGTCACTCTTATAATAATTATAATTGTATTTAAATAATATGGCGTATATCCACGTTCGACAGCAATCTCTATGCGTTTTACAATCATTTTAAAAAATCCAAACAGACCCAAGGATACCCGTAAACATACTCGGCTTGTCGGGAAAAATACAGTGCAAGCTGTGGATTGCATGCGTTCAAACACTAACAAACTCACAGGATCTTTCTCTGTCAAGGGCCGGGTACCCGGTCCCCTGAGTAAAGTGAGGAAAATTCATGTAAAGT